AATTTTTATTTGGTACATCATATTTTAATTGTAGTTAGATTTCACAATCTTTGCACATTGTAACAATTATTTCCTTTACTTTTTTTTTTCCATAAAATTCTTATATTTAACATTCTATTAATTAGTACATCTCGACCTTGATGATGGTTTATATTAAAATATCTTATCTTCACGCTTTGAACTGAGAGATTTTTTCTTTTCTTTTCTTTTTTTTTTTTTTGTTTTGTTTGTTTATTTATTTTTTAAAAAAAAGGCATTGCTATATAAATACGGTTATGATCCCCAGATCACACGTACGTATTGTTCATTCTATTCTGCATCCCATCTAGAGAGAAAAGGCGACTGTGTGTAGATTTGGAAGATAAAACCACGAGATTTGTCTATTACAATTAACCATGTCTGATTAAAGTACGCTTCCGCTATAATTCTTGAATTTCTTGATGATCCAACATGAAGATCCGATGATTTTAAAGTGATAAATTTTCCTACACCATTCATAATGTGATATTAATTATTCTTTCAACTTGTCTTTCATTTTCTCATCAATCTCCAATATCATTTCCAATTCAATTTAAGTCTAATGCTGGATTGTTGCTAAATATACTTCTACTCCATTTTTTTCCCAAATATAAAGACCATAAACTTTCCCGACAAACAAGATCGTCTTCTTCTAGATTATTTCGGCAAAATCTTGTTAAAGATTATATTCAATAATAAGATTCTTTGCCATGAAATTAGTAGGAAATCGAACTTTCTCGAATAATCTCCTCTCATGGAACTTTCCGCGAAATCTTGTTAAAGATTACATCCAATAATATAATGTTGGGAATTGGAACTCATTGAAGTAGTTATATACTCCTTATCCACCCTATGCATAAATGATGTGATTTTGTTCTCACTTTCTCAACAATTGCTTCTCAAACGGAATACCACGTCATGATGTTGGTCCACCTCAAACAATATATATCTGATTATGTGCTCCATCAAGGTCTTACTCTTCCACTGTGTTAGGGGTCTTATGTGAGCACAACCTCTTTAAGAGTCAAAAATGAAAATCAAATTTTTAGTAGATTTTGATAAAGGTTGATGGAATGTATAGTTGAAAAGTTATAAGTTTCATAAAATGTGTGGTTAAAATTAAATATTGACTTTGACTTAAATTTTAATCTTACTTTTTAGTTTAACCAAATAGGGCTTAATTAGGGCTCACATCTCATTCAATTGCAAATGAGGATTCATCGTGGCGTCCACATAGCTAAGTTTAGGCCTAGTTATGATGCCACTTGTTGGGATTCAGGTTGGTTCATAATCTACATATAGCAGTTTAATTGTCTTGTAAACTCACTAGTTACCTCATGCAAACGAATATAGAATATTGTTCCTGCTTTTCTTACAATAACGTAATGGAAAAAAATAATAAAAAAATCTTGGAGTGTCATCAGTGACGAATCTAGGATTTTGAGTTAGCACGGGCAGCCGTTGATTGTCGATCGTCAGCCGCAATAAAGTATTAAGAGCCTGTTTGATGTCCTTTTTTTTTAACAAAAAATGCATTTTGAAATAGTGATTTTGTAGAGAACGTGAGGTCAAAAATAAGGAAAATGTCGTGAATTTACGTGTAATATTATTTTATTGAAGAACGTATGGTTAAAAATAAGATAGATAAAAATATATTTTGAAAAAAAATGAAAATAAAACAAGGCCTAAAATTTAAATATAACAATTATTTTGTTCATATTAAACATATATAATTTTGTTATAAGAATAAATCATATATTCACCAAATGACATTGTTACCAAGTATCGTATCATTTAAAGGAAGAGCATGATTTTGAATCTTTATAATTTTATTAAACCCAATAAATGTAATACATATTATTTTGTTAAATTAAGTGTCAAAAACAATGGATGCCAAAGTGGTCAAGCTTTCAATGATTAGAATAAGGGTTCATGGTTTGAATTTCATCTAACTGTTTCCTATTGCATTAAATTTGGTAGAAATTGTAAAACTAAAAAATTTGCACAATAAATTGGCTGTGAAGAGATTCGAAACCGAGACTTGCAAAGTGTAAATGTAAGCTCTAACCATCTCAACTAGAAGGAGAGTCTGAAAGAAGAAGAAATTATCAGTAATATAACCTAAAACCTTAATCTATTGTCAGCCAAAAAAAAAAAAAAAAAAGCCTCCATGGGATCCAGCTAGGGCTGCCTCTCATCTAATTGTTTCCTATTGCATTAATTTTGGTAGAAATTGTAAAACTAAAAAAATTGCACAATAAATTGGCGGTGAAGAGATTCGAAACCGAGACTTGCAAAATGTAAATGTAAGCTCTAACCATTTCAGCTAGAAGGAGAGTCTAAAAGAAGAAAGAATTATTAGTAATATAACCTAAAACCTTAATATATTATCAATCAAAAAAAATTGCTTCCGACGGATCCAGTTAGGGTGGTCGGCTTAGCTCGCCACTATCTAGATCCACCACTGCATGCAGGTTCACTAGGTGACAATTCCAACTTTAGTCAAGATTTTTTTTTTAATTTTTAAATTGGTTTTTTGTTATCTAATTTTGATTCGCGTTCCATTTTTTTTTTTGAATAGTTTTGTCTTACAAATGTTTTTGAATTTTTTTTAAAATCCTCTATTTATTTTTTAATTTTCTTTTCTTGATTTTCTTCAATTATGGAGTTAAAAATTTAAAACTCCTCAACCTCTTCATGTAAATTTCACTCCTTGCACTACGAAAGTATAATAATTTCATTGGGTCTTGCTGTTTAGGAGGAAACCAAGGTTGACAGATTTATTGAAGATTATCATGTGTGTTTTATAGTATTGATTCGATTTGAATTGTTCAAAGAATGAAAATGACTATAAACTTTATTATGATCATTCAGTTGACCTCAAAAATGGAAATTATTTTTTAAAGTCAATGATCAATTTTTCTGATAGGGTGGATTTTTTGGCTGTGTTGTGGAGCCAAACTTTAGTAGTAAGAATAAAGGGAGTGAGATTTCGGCATTATTTTTGTCGAGAAAGTGCTCTTCGATCGAAAAATATTTGAAGTTTTTAGAGTGTCAATCTTTGATTTGCCTTGATTTTAGTTTATTTTTCAGAGAGTAGAAGTTTGGATCTTAAATTTTTACCCTTTATCAATTGTGCAAATATCATTTTGGGTGGTTATATTGTCACTATAATCTTCATTTGGTACATCACATTTTAATTGCAGTTTAGCTTCACAATCTTTGCACATTGTAACAATTATTTTCTTTACTTTTTTTTCCCATAAAATTCTTATCTTTAACATTCCATTAATTAATACGTCTTGATTTTGGTGATGGTTTATATCAAAATATTTTCTTTTCATACTTTGAAATAAGAAAAACATTTTTGCACTTTTATTTATTTTTTAAAAATATGATGAGAAATGAGTTATTTTAAGTCATTTCAACGAATTTTTGGACATAAAACTTTTATCAAATATAAAATATATTAAATAATTGAAAGCTTAAGGATAAGAATAATATGAAAAATTATAAGGGACATAAGTGTTATAATGATTAAAGATTAAAAACCTTAACTACAATTAAAATGTGGTATAAGAAATAAAAATTGTAGTGTGAATATAATTACCATATCCTTTTTTTATAGATGCTTTTAGGGACTTTTGATCATTTTTTATGAGTTGACATCCGCTTATCACTGTGTTGAAAGTTATAATTAGGTGTAATTTTTATGTTTTGTTGATATTAATGCTTTGTGATACTTGTCAAACAATTTGTTGTTTCCAAGCATGGGTTTATTGCATTGAAATCAAGGTTGATTTTGCCATAATTATCACTAAGATCTCCCGCCCATATATGAGACCTTCGAACCCTTTCGTAGTTGGGGCCTTTAATAGTATTTCTAGCCAAGTATTAGGGTTCCGTTCATTTCGTTGCTAAATGATACGTCGACGATTAAGACATCTTAAATTGTGCCTTATTGTCCAAGGTATGAATGTTCATAGACATGTGCATGCAACGGAGCCCTTTCGTGGCCGATGTAGAGTCTTGATGGGTAATAATTATTTAAGTACATTACATGTTTCTCATTGATTGTCTACTTATTGTTTTGTGTACGAAAATCAAGCAACACTTTTTAAATTTTTGGATTTGCCTTGACGACAAAGACACATGTGGGTAACTCACTCTCTCCTAAAAAATTGGATGGATTTAGAGAGAATTTTTAGATTAGGGATAACTAACTCAATTTTGTGATTGCTTTTTAAATCCTCAAGTTAGAAATTACTATGAACAAAAACTATGTTTAGAATGGAAACTATGGTTGTTATAACTTATTTTGAAAGAAACATATTTGTTTTTTATTAATTAAAGTCGAAAATAAGTTAATTCTTTAAATGAAATATTTACTTTATGTAATTTTAATCAAGATTGTCGCCAAACATGAACAAAGGATTCACTTTCTAATTCAAATACAAAAGAATAATGTTATACAATCTCGGGGCTACAATTTCAATTTAGATGACTCATGATGATAGGTTGAATGAAATGTGAAATTAAATAACTTATTTAGAGTCTGTTTGACCCCTTTCTTCCCATTACATTAAATTTTTTGCCAACTTTCAAACCCCCTTTTTTGACTAAGTAGGGTCCACATCTGTCATTTCCTTCTAACTTACCAAAGAATCTCGTTTTTTGAAGTGAACCTTTTGTCCAAAGGACTAAAACACCCTCCCATGTCCACACTAAATTACATATGTATATTCCCAAAAACTGAGGACAAGGTTGGGAGGGTAGGATCGTAATTTTGTGACACAATTAATTACTCTTGTTGTACATGCAGGCTGTACTCTCTGAATGGTATAACACATGGGGGCCATAGTTGCTGGAAAAATTGAAAAATAATTTGTTGTAATGACTTTTAATGAGAAATAATGGGGCATGAGGGCTTAATTTCACGTATTATTTTTAATGCCATATTATTGAAGTTGTAACTCAGTGGGGGCCATTATTCATTACAAAATGACGCCGGTCGAGGCTTCGTCTTCCATCTCCCAAGTCAACTCAATGGCCGCAGAACAATGGCAATCCCAAGAAATCCAACATTCCCCGACCCGCCCCTTCCTCCTCCTCCACCGCCTACCGGGCTTCAATCTCTCCTTACTTCCTTTACTTCAGACCCGGTACACAGTCCTTGACCCGCTTGCGGACCCACCCGAGCCGTTGTTCACTGCCCATGCAAAATCTGCCCGTGTCATGATCTGTTTAGGCCCCACCCCTGTGAGGTCGGAGGACCTCGACAAGTACCCGGCTGTGGAGTGCATAGTGGGTTCCAGCGCAGGGGTTAACCACTTCGACCTCGCCGCCTGCCGCCGCCGGGGAATACGCGTTACCAATGCCGGCGATACTTTCTCCGACGATGCCGCGGACTATGCTGTCGGGCTAATGATTGATGTTCTCCGGCGGATCTCCTCAGCCGACTGTTTCATTCGGTCCGGGGATTGGCCTGTCAAGAAAGAGTATTCTTTGGGTTGCAAGGTTAGAGATTAAAATAAATTCAATTTTACTGCAGTTAGTTAATCATTCAATGGAATTTTATTCTAATTATCTATTTGTAAACCAATAAAGAAAGTGGTTGCATTCATTTTACTGCAATTAATTAGTCATTCAAAAGAATTTTGGTCTAATTATCGAACTGCAGACCAGTAAAGAAAGAACTGCAATGTGATTAATTTCCTGTGAATACATATCAGATAAAGTGATGATTATAGATTATTGGATATAATTTTAAAAGTTCTCAGATATTTTTTGTAATTTATTTACGTTTTCGTGTAGTTCTTGTGCTAGGATATTGATGCAGAAAAAAGAAATCAATTCTCCCAAAACCGCAATTCTAGGAGAGACACTCTTCTAGCACTACTTTATTTGGACCTTACGTAAGGAGCTCCTTATCAAATATGCCTACCCTCATGTTCTAGCGATGCTCTGTATCATATTTGAAATGAATTGTTCTAAACATTTTTGTTGTTGAATGGGGCTCGGTTGTGTTTAGCAGTCTATAGGAAAAGAGGAAGGGTGAGTTTTACACACTAACATGAATATGAACTTTTGTTGAGGTTCATGAGTATGAACATTTCAATGTTATGACGTTATTATTTCAGGTGAGTGGGAAACGAGTAGGAATTGTGGGATTGGGCAGCATTGGCTTGAGGGTTGCTAAGAGGCTCGAGGCATTTGGCTGCATCATTGCCTACAACTCAAGGAAGATGAAGCCCAATGTTCAGTACCCTTATCATAAAAATGTTCAAGATCTTGCAGCAAACAGCGATATATTGATTCTCTGCTGTGCATTGACAAATGAAACCTACCATGTAGTTAACAAGGACGTTATGACTGCCTTGGGGAAGGATGGTATTATTGTCAATGTTGGACGAGGAGCACTCATCAATGAGAAGGAATTGGTACAATTCTTGGTGCAAGGTGAAATTGGAGGTGCTGGACTTGATGTCTTTGAGAATGAACCGAATGTTCCGGGAGAGCTATTTGCATTGGATAATGTTGTGTTGTCTCCTCATCGTGCTGTTGTAACTCCAGAATCATTTACTAGGCTTCAAGAGCTCTTACTCGGAAACTTAGAAGCTTTCTATTCAAATAAACCTTTGCAGGCTCAAATCAAGTTCGAGTAATTTGTCAATCTGCATATTCATGCTGTTACTCTGAACTTTGGGACACATGAATAGTTACAAGTGCTGGCAAGATTAAACTGTGTGGGAACTTAATATAAGAAAGAGATGATTTTTCTTATAAATGCTGATACAGTTGTGTACCTTTTTATTGATTTACAAGAAATTGGAACACTTATTCTGCTCTGGATAGAGTAAAACATAAATGATTTTCTGTACAAAACTTCAAATTGTGATCCATAAAATGCATTCGACTTTTGATTCGATAAGTTTTTCAATGATATATTATTTTCGTAGTGAAGGTTTCTGTATCAAATCTTGGTAATCTAGACAATCTCTGTGTTTTGGGGGATTGACCTTTTTTTGCACTTTTTTTTTGTTCCATTTCTACTTTTGTTTGTATCATTTTTTTTTATGATCGTGGGTGTTTAGGTTAGCTTACGCGTACCTCCACTAATCTCATGGGGCCCTGAAGTTTAGAGTTGGGTACTTATCTCATTGGCTCTGAAATGACTCGAACTAGTGACCATTGAGGAGCAACTTCAAGACCTACTTTTGTTTGTATCATCATTGCATAGAGACGTTAATCTTTTCTTAGTCTAATTTTCTAACATGTCTAAGAGGAAATGAATGGGGATGGCAAGGGGTGGGGCACGGTGGAAGCCATCCCTGTCCTGCAGATCATTCAGTCGAGATTCACTACTTATTCGAGGGTAGATAAATAGGGACAGGTTTAGGATGGAGAAATTTGACACCCTTAGTCATTATAAGTTTTGTTCAAAAATGAATATATTTTAGAACAATTCCTCCATATAAATAATGTTTTTCTTAAAAATTTCTTTCAAACTCCACGCGCTCACCCTCATCAAGAAGAATAATTCTACTTGTACGTAAGGAGTTACAGAAAATTTTATAGGTAGATAAAGTGTCACAAAGATAATGAGGAAGTTTATTTTTTTAATTTTTTATTGAAGAAATTTTGATCAAATTTTTATACACTATTGTTCATAGCCCTCTCACAAGGGTTGGGCTCGCAATTATTGGCCCCACCCTTTGAATGTGAAAGGATTGTAAATAAAGCTGTCAAAATTGTAATTATCGTACTTCTCCTATGTCATCCAATCTGTACACATTAACCAACAAGACAAAGTCGTGATCAAATGTATCATCCGCGTGTCATCCTAACGAGAATGCAAGATTTTTCTGACAAAGATCATGACATGTCAGTTTTTGTAACGTCCCAGGAACAGGGAATAGATTTTCTTAAAATCAAGACAAACACTATCTTAATTTCCCTCCACTCATTCTTCAATCGCCTTATCTTTGAGCTGTCCCTTCTTCCACCAAAATTCTCACGCTTGATTTTTATAATGCATAATCCCTTCCAAAACGTTGGCCACCCATCAACTCCTTCCACCACCACAGCCGCTGGCACCGCCGCAAATGGAGACCAAACTTGGGTTCAGTATAACAATTCCAAGATTCCTCACTGCTTCGTTCAGAAAACCATTGATTTCTGTGTCTGCTTCTCCTTCTCTGCCTTTTTCTGTTTCAGGGGTTCAGTCAATTCATTTCAATGGCAGAAAGTTGTCTACTAAACGCAGATTGTTGGTTATTTCTCCTCGGGCCTCCACTGACCAGCAAGGTTAGGTTTCATAGTCTGGATTTAATTTACTGCTTTTCCTTTATTTTCTTGATGACCCTTTATTTCTGTGACTGAATTTTCCAGTTTTGGGATTTGGTTATTTTGATTTCCAGTTGTTTCTGTCAAGAAAATTGCCTTGCTCTAACCTATAGGCATCTTGGTTCATTGCTATAATTATTATTATCATTTTTTTTATGGGAAATTTGTCTTAAGGTTTATCTTGCTGAAGAATAAATTTATATTTAATAGCATCTTAAGCTTTGAAACGAGCTGTCGGATAGTATTAGAGCATACAAAGATCATGGATGAAAATCTTTGCAGTTGAGGGAATGAAAACCTGGAAATGTATCATGGCTGAGAATCTTTGCAGTTGAGAGAAATGAAAACCTGAATATCTATTTAACTTCTTTATTTAAAATTGCCTCATGAAATTAAATACTCCCTGAAACAAGGATTAGCATTAGTTTTGGGTTAATCTTTCCTTCGAGAATGCCAATATCTGTCAATATGGAGATCCGATGATGGACTCCATGGGTCGAGTGTTTTCCTTTCCCCTACTGTTGATTTCTGTATTAGTGTATTACAGCAACCTTGTACTCTCAATAAATGCATGCTAACACTCACACTATGTGTTGCTTTGGTTGACCACTTGTTTATTTTCAGGTCAGGTTCAAGAAGATGAGGTTGTCGACAGCAATGTCTTGCCCTATTGTAGCTTAGATCAAAAAAAGAAGAAGTCTGTCGGGGAGATGGAACAAGAATTTCTTCAAGCGCTTCAGGTACTAACAGAGGACCCCTACAGCAAAAACTTGCTCATCTCTCCTCTTAAGTTTTCTTTTGTATGTGATCCTTATTTCTGTTGTATAACACAAGTTTTGAACCTCTTCTTCATTGCAGTCATTCTACTATGAAGGCAAATCTATCATGTCAAATGAGGAATTTGATAATCTTAAGGAAGAACTTATGTGGGAAGGGAGTAGTGTTGTGATGCTAAGTAAATAATATTTTCTATCTTCTTAGTCGTCCTGTTCTTTCTTGACATTTACTTGATCCCAGTGGCAGTAATTTTCTTTTCGATATTGCAGGTGCTGACGAGCAGAGGTTTTTGGAAGCGTCAATTGCTTATGTATCTGGGAACCCAATAATGAGCGATAAAGAGTACGATGATCTGAAAATGAAGCTCAAGGTTTGTGAGAAATAAAGCCAAATATATATTACAGCTTAGAAAATAAATTTTATATTCATTAAAATGATCAGGACATATAAATCAGAATTCCTACTAGATGTATTTTATCCTAATTTCCCTGTGAAAAATTCAAGAAAATCAGCATTTTGTAGTAATTAACTTTCTGTGATTCTTGACCATTTTATTTTACTATGCTGTTTCTTTTTCATATTCTTTTAGTTTCTTTCCCTTAACTTTTCTTTTTATGTTTTGATTCATTAATATATTATAGAAGGACGGTAGCGAAATTGTAATTGAGGGTCCTCGTTGCAGTCTTCGCAGTAGAAAGGTATGTGCTTATATTACATATGCATCCTGGAATTATGTTTTGCAAGGCTTTGACTCTTCTTATTAAGACTTGAGTTCTATTTTAACAGATCAACCTTGTTAAGAGTAGTCGTCAAAACCCTTATAAGTTGGTTTACGTTTTCATCTGTACTCGATGTGAGATTTAATCACATAACACTTAACACGTTTGGAGTACTTGTGTCATATATTTGACACTTGGATGAAAGTATAGTATTAGTGTTCAATATTTTACGCTGATCACCAACTAGGAAACGATATCGGTGGTGCTCGTTGGTGTGTATAATTGAGGAACACTGGAGTGAGAATTTTGACCAATATATGTAAAATTGGACAAGAAAAGTTTTCTAAAATTGACAGTTTGGCGCGTATCTACTCCTGACCCACTGACACCAGCAAGTCTAGCACCAAGTTCACTAAACTTATCAATTGTTCAATTCTTCATGTGAAAGGTCTTCAAATACTTAATTGATGAGTTTTATCGTGATTACTGTTATTTCTAATAGAATATTCAGAAGGAATAGAGATCATATATTTTCCTATGCAAGATTATGATTTCTCAATTCTTAGCTGCACTCATGGAAAACCTGTTTGGCTAGTGAAATAACTCTAGCTAGTTTAGTACTAGAAAGGGATGAGGAAGGAAAATGACGAATCTACAAATAGGAAGGGGAAGAAAATCATCTTAACTTTTGCTTTTTAGTGTTTTCTTTCTCCCTTAAACTACACTTTAAAATATATGTTTTTTTTTTTTTTTGGCCATTTAGTGGTTTATCTTCTCCAGTCACCTCACTGGAGGGGGCAAAAATGTGCCCAGAGGGTACAATTCTTCTCCATTTATACTTTTCCCTTAAATTCCCTAGCCAAATGAGATGCCCCCTTTCCCTCTAAATACAATAATTCCCAACCAACATAAATGCAAACCAAAAAGAAGTTGGATAGCGTGGCTTGTAGGTGCAATCCTAATGTCCAAAACAATGTCTAGCCAGATATTAGTCAACAACTTAGTTTTTTTGTCAATGGACTCAGATTTGGACAAATGACCGCTTTTCAATGATTTTACTTCCAAAATTTTGTTTCCAGAATTAGCTCATGAGAGCAAGACTCTGAATTGTTTAAGACCTGCTAGGTCAGCTGAAATCGTTAGATAATGCATAAATATTTAAGTATTGTCTGAATTCTTGACATATTTCCACGTTATTATGTTTTGTAATGGCTAAGTGCATTACATAGTTCTATCTTGTTCTTCTCTGAATTCCTACTGGCATAAGTTGATTACTTTAAAGTCATGCCTATCAATTTTACGTATATTGTGTCTGTTTACATGTGTTTAGCTGGTGAAGTAATACAGATGATTTTTAGTAAAATAGGGAAATTATGGAGTATATTGTCATATGTTATTTCTGCATATTTGTAATTGACCAGCGTGTTTGAGAGTCTTCTAGATTGTTAACTCTGCATTATATGTGCGAAATGCATCATAAATCTTGATGATTTGAATATCTTATTGCAACCTAACGACTGTGAACCATTGATGGCAAAATGTATTTTGATGATGATAGTCCTTCAACGATTTACTTAGGTTTTCTCCACATGGTTTTCTTCTTTCTTGTAGTATTGGTTATTTATGAATTTGCATCTTTTTTTATTAGAAAATAATTGGTGGGGATACACAAGTTCAGATTTGACATACCCGCATTATTTTCCTGAGTTCATTAATTTTGTATCTGCAGGTTTACAGTGACCTTTCTGTTGATTACCTCAAGATGTTTCTACTAAATGTCCCAGCTGCAGTTGTTGCATTAGGATTGTAAGTGTCACTAAAATTTGGCATGAATGCACTTGTAGGAGCTTCTAGTTAAAGAAACTAATTGATACCAGCTCCTTTTCGTTGTTTCTTTGACTAATCTTCTTAACCTTTAGAAAAATAATATAAGTCAAATAGTTATATTTAGTAATGTAAAGGTCTAACCTCGGGAATGTAACAAGAAAATTTTTATTTTTATTTTTAACATGCCATAGGATTAGGGACCTTATCTGTTCTTATGTTGGGAGAATGGAATCTAAGCTAATAGCATTCCATACCATACCGTTTCTAGGTTTTTCTTCCTCGATGATTTGACTGGATTTGAAATCACCTATCTTTTGGAGGTAATAATATATTAGTCCCTTTGCGATTGATATTCCTGTTCAGAAAATGTATTCGAATTTTTTGCTTCTGTTCTCAGTTAAATAATTCCTCTTAGTCGTATATTAATCCAATACATTATTTCTCTGCAGCTTCCAGAGCCCTTCAGTTTCATTTTCACATGGTTTGCAGCTTTTCCTTTGATACTATGGTTATCCTTCACAATTACAAATGCTATCGTGAAAGATTTCCTGATCTTATCGGTAAGATTGTCATTAACAGTAGAAATAAGGATTTACTTACGATAGTTTTTCAAGTTTGCCTAGAAAGTAGAAATTGACTAGTTATATTTACTGGCTCAGGGACCCTGTCCGAACTGTGGCACTGAGAATATTTCATTCTTTGGGACCATATTGTCTGTATCTAGTGGTGGTTCCACTAACACCGTAAAATGCTCGAAGTAAGTCTAACCTGGAACCAGATCGAGCAGATTGCTGTATCATTTTGTCTCTCATTTGATCTCTGGTTTCACTTTTTTTCGTAATTTTGACCATTATAACACTCTTCATCAGTTGCGGGACAGAGATGGTTTATGATTCAAGTACGCGGCTGATTACATTGCCTGAATGAAGTGAAGCATGAATTGAGGTCTGTACTCTCTTCAGAATACAGTTCTTCCCGAGTAATACTCTAAAACATTATGGTTTACAATCTCGGAAGAGAGCTGAAAAGAATTGACAATTTATAATAAATAATTATTTACTTGCAAAAAGGTCATTTTGCACAAGGATTTCTAGTCTTCAAAAGAACAGAAGCGAAAAGAAATTATACGAATGCATAAGGGTTTCTTACAGCTTATTGTCATTTCAAGATTTGATCGCGTTAAAAACTTAGTTGTGTAAAAACACGTTTTGGCCTTGCGCATACCGTAGCCTACATTAAACTGCCGAAGCATCTGGAATTCCCATCATTTCATTCTTTTCTTTCTAACTTGTTGGACAATATGGTGATCCGAGTGTGAAGTGATTACGAACTTGATTGCTTACTCGTTTAGCTTTATCCACTCGCAATTAAAAAAAAAAAAAACTTCATTCGATTTGTATTAAATCATCGATCTTAAATTTCATTATCTTCGACGAACTGATCTGCGTGAAAATGTGTGCACTATGTATTATTGAGCTGAAAGTTTGTATATGGCAGGCACTAATGGGATTCGGAAGCGAGAGAAGAACTAATGAAATGGCGCAAGTCTGAGTTCAGTGTATATACTATGTGGTTGCTGCATAACTGGTTTTATGTCTATAGATATGTTTATCTTGAGTATGTTCATAACTTCATATGTAAATTTCTTACAGGTTCGTGCACTGTAGAACACAGATGCTTGACTATTTTGAAGGAAATCATTCAGTAAAACACATACTATTTGAGCATTCTTAGCATTTATTGAAAGATGATTTACACACACTTCTGTTTCTGATGATAAATTATACAACGTGAAAAGCCCTTTTTTTGTCTATAAACACGAACTTCTCATTAAGCAAGATCATCACGGACAGCAGACAAAACATAGGCCTTTCCATAAAACAAGTGCTTCGGGAGATAATCAGCAATCAAATTTCTTAGCAAAAGCAGCCACGAAATGATTGTGACCATATTTATGCATTTTATCTTGTTATAGCTCGATAATTGGACTTGGACTATTCCCATTCTTGTTTCTTTATATTAGATTCCATTCATTGCACAGTTCATTGTTAAAACGTACCAGAAAAAAAAAAGGAAAAAGAAAAAGAAAAACCATGGTTTACCAAATGAGCTGCCAGCACGTTTTCAGAGATTTAGCAAACAATTTTTTGACCGAGTGTTACAAGATAACTTTATACAAATATTGTAATCATTTCTTAATCATAATTTTAAAAATTCCTCTCTTGACTTGAGATACCATAACTTCGTGAGGGTCACGTAGACACCATCACATATTCTAAAGCCTTAAAACTATATAAAGGCATATATTTTGAAGTCAATTAGGCAATTCACTTTGTACAGTACTTAATAACTTTGAGCATAGTTTAGGCCAACAGCCATGGCAGCTCTTCATTCATGGTGCTTTAGCTTCTTCTTGGTAATGGCAGTATTAGGCAACGCAACCGCAGCATATTATGCTGCCGTATTTCGTCCTACAGCATGGAAACAAGCCTACGCTACGTTTTATGGCGATGAAACTGCTGCCGAAACAATGGGTACGTGACAACTTATTTTTTCGACCTTATTAGGTGTCAATGTTGTTGGAAAGTATTTATAAAAGTTGATTTTTATCGATCTTTAACCAAATATTTGGATGGGTCCCAGCGTCGAACCTTGCCATGCCTTGACCGGACTTTTGTCAGGCAATGCTGTTTAGGCCTAGGCAGAACGACGAAGATTGAAAACCATATTAGTCCCCTAGTCTAATATGTAAAAGTGTAATATAGTCCATTACTTTGGTGTCCACAGGTGGAGCATGTGGGTATGGAAATTTGTTCAGCAGTGGTTATGGTACTGCCACGGCGGCGTTGAGCTCCGTACTATTCAACAATGGCTACGGATGTGGCCAATGCTTCCAAATACGGTGCGTAAAGTCGCAATGGTGCTACAGAGGCTCGCCAATCACCACCATCACGGCCACAAACCTCTGCCCTCCTAACTGGGCTAAGGACTCGAACAATGGTGGCTGGTGCAACCCACCTCGAACGCATTTTGACATGTCCAAACCTGCATTCATGAAAATTGCACAGTGGAAGGCTGGTATTGTACCTGTCATGTTCCGCAGGTATAATTTTACTTTTTCATCAAATTATAACCTAGCATCACTGGTGCTATAATATCAATTTATGTGTTGCTATGTGATAGACTCAATGAAATGTGAAATTAAGTGACTCATTTAATTATACGTCTCACTTAATGCTACATTAGAGACGTCTAGACTAGTAATTTAATACTAATAGTGCTAAATAACATTAGCCATATCTTATTGTCGCCTATTTACTTAGAAAATCACATAATTTCTTGAATTATAATTAACCGCTGCAAACAATAGAAAAAATGTCAAATTGCATAAAGGTAATATGCTATATTATTAGAATGACATAGAGACAATATCTAGCCCGAAACAAATGATAAATTAAGATTTGTTATCAACAAATTGGTGATTGGCTACTAGAATCCTTTCTTTATTCTATTTAGATCGGTGCACCAAATGCTACTAAATCTATCACAACAATAAGTCACATTAATTTCAATCCACCACTTCATCCTTTCATATTTCTACCAAGATCACATAACACTTGTATATAAGAAACCTACGTTATCTCTAATAACAAGTTGACCACTTCAAATTCTGCTTGTAGAGTGCCATGTGTTAGGAGAGGCGGCCTTCGATTCACCTTCCAAGGAAACGGCTACTGGCTGCTCGTGTACGTGATGAACGTGGCTGGGGGCGGAGATATCGCACAAATGTGGGTTAAGGGAAGCAAGACAGGGTGGATAAGCATGAGCCACAACTGGGGGGCTTCATATCAGGCATTTGCAACTCTTGGAGGCCAAGCCCTTTCTTTCAAGTTAACTTCATACACATCCCATGAGACTATTATTGCATGGAATGTTGCCCCTTCCAATTGGCAAGTAGGGTTGACTTATAGTGGTAATGTCAACTTTCATTGAGATATATGTATGTAATGCAAGAATATAATCCCTTTCTTTCCCTCTCTTTCTTTGCATTTAAGCCAAAAGGGTAGCGCTTCAAACCATTTTTTACTTATTTTGGCTTCCATTTTCTCTATTTTCATTTTCCATTGATATTGTATCTTATCTTTGTCGCATTCATGAAAATTGCACAGTGGAAGGCTGGTATTGTACCTGTCATGTTCCGCAGGTATAATTTTACTTTTTCATCAAATTATAACCTAGCATCACTGGTGCTATAATATCAATTTATGTGTTGCTATGTGATAGACTCAATGAAATGTGAAATTAAGTGACTCATTTAATTATACGTCTCACTTAATGCTACATTAGAGACGTCTAGACTAGTAATTTAATACTAATAGTGCTAAATAACATTAGCCATATCTTATTGTCGCCTATTTACTTAGAAAATCACATAATTTCTTGAATTATAATTAACCGCTGCAAACAATAGAAAAAATGTCAAATTGCATAAAGGTAATATGCTATATTATTAGAATGACATGGAGACAATATCTAGCCCGAAACAAATGATAAATTAAGATTTGTTATCAACAAATTGGTGATTGGCTACTAGAATCCTTTCTTTATTCTATTTAGATCGGTGCACCAAATGCTACTAAATCTATCACAACAATAAGTCACATTAATTTCAATCCACCACTTCATCCTTTCATATTTCTACCAAGATCACATAACACTTGTATATAAGAAACCTACGTTATCTCTAATAACAAGTTGACCACTTCAAATTCTGCTTGTAGAGTGCCATGTGTTAGGAGAGGCGGCCTTCGATTCACCTTCCAAGGAAACGGCTACTGGCTGCTCGTGTACGTGATGAACGTGGCTGGGGGCGGAGATATCGCACAAATGTGGGTTAAGGGAAGCAAGACAGGGTGGATAAGCATGAGCCACAACTGGGGGGCTTCATATCAGGCATTTGCAACTCTTGGAGGCCAAGCCCTTTCTTTCAAGTTAACTTCATACACATCCCATGAGACTATTATTGCATGGAATGTTGCCCCTTCCAATTGGCAAGTAGGGTTGACTTATAGTGGTAATGTCAACTTTCATTGAGATATATGTATGTAATGCAAGAATATAATCCCTTTCTTTCCCTCTCTTTCTTTGCATTTAAGCCAAAAGGGTAGCGCTTCAAACCATTTTTTACTTATTTTGGCTTCCATTTTCCATTGATATTGTATCTTATCTTTGTCTGATGAAAGAAATGACAATTTTACATGTCATACGGAAGTTTAGCGATATGATAAGAGAAATAATTTAAAGTAATCCTCCCAGATTCTTGCTCGTGCATTGTACTACAACAACTTGTACCTCTTTCGGAAACTATTAATTGAATCATATTTCCTATCAAAATCTCTAATCTAAATAATTAGACACTAGCTATCATGCATAGTAATAGAAGGAAATCACGAACTCTTTTGGGTGCCTTCACCATGATCCTCTCTATTTGAACCTAGTATTATATTAATCATACACGATGAATTTTAAATTTTAAATAAATCTTAAACTTTTATTCAATGAGTAGAACTTACTTTCTTGGTACTACAGACAACTCATTTTTATCAAACATAAAACAAAATGATTTCAAATTGAGGAAAGAAAATGAGTTATATTATTAAAGAAACCACTCATCAAATGAACATTCTTTTCCGCTTTCAAGTGAAAGACACCTCATGACTTGCCCAATGGTTCCCTAAAAGAGTTTAATTAAAAAAGGGATGATCTGCCTATTTAAAACAGAAGGGCCCCTAAATATTAAAGAATTAATTGTTATGCATGCTAGGCCACAATATTGTTGAAGTGGGGGACATGCCTCTATGCCTTCATTCCATTTTCCTCAAGCACGCCATACCAATTTCATTTCCTTTTGAATTCAATATCATCATGACTCCACGCTCCAAAATCATTTCTCCTATCTTTTATCATCCTAACCCCCTCAAAAGTCATGTAATTGATTTGAAGGCAAGCATGCAAATAAAATAAATATGTTAGATGGAATGGATAATTCATAGTATATTAATCAAATAAAATAAATGTTCGATTCTGAATAGGGAAATGTATTGATTGGCCGGTTAGATAATTCATGCTAGCATTTGTCAATCTGTGTGAATTTGAACAAAATTGTTCGTTGGTATGCTGAGCGTCGATCGATCAAGAGAGTAGAATTTAATCTTAGTATCTAAGTTCTTGCCAAGTATGTTGACATTTCTTAGTATCAAGAGCGTCGACGCTCGATCAAGAGCTTGAACCCATGTTGACATTTCTTCTTGCAACATTAATTTTTTAGTGCCTAAATTTGATCATCGTTGGATCAACTCGAGTTTTTGTAGTGCTAGATTCTTCCAATTTGGACCGTCAACCAATTTGGCTGTCCACTCTGGACATGATTATCGTGATTTATTTATTTGTTTATTTTTGGTATTAACACGTATATTCCAGTACATTGATCATAACATTTTCAATCAATGCACACACAAAAAATACAAACATCAGCAGACGAATCATATGAACAAATAGTGCAAAATTGTATTAACTTTTCAAGTTAACTTTTTCTCTCCCCTCGCCTCTAAAGCCACTCTTTGACCCAACATTTTCACTCCCACCGAACATCTCGTTTCATTACAACATTAAATAGAACCGAAATATAAATTTTTGTCTTTTTAGTCCACCTTTTCACTCAAGAAGTCTCCTCAGATCAATCTAAAACCTCCACAGAAATCAGACATACTGTTTTCATGTTTAAGACTGGAAATAGGACAAGGAATGGGCTTCCTCTTCTATTTCACTTTGGTTTTTCTTTCATTTGCATCTTTATCAGCCCTTCAAACTCAAACTCAAGAAATAAAATCGGCCCGCCTTCTCGATCTTGTCATTAGAGATTACACTTTCAAATCATACAACAAACACTTTAGGACAGGTAAACTGCACCAGATCAAGTTACCAGCAAATCTCTCGGGCATAACAGTCAATTCAGTGCGATTTCGCTGTGGTAGTCTTCAAAGGTATGGAGCCAAAATTAAGGAATTCCATCTGGGAATAGGTGTAACTGTTCATCCTTGCATTGAAAGAGTGTTGATAATTAGACAAAATCTTGGATCTAACTGGTCATCTATATACTATGATAATTATGAGTTATCAGGTTATCGACTTATTTCGCCTGTTTTAGGCCTATTAGCATATAACATTGGCGACGGTATAAAATTTAGTACTCCATCTGAGCTCGGGATTCAGGCCGGGAAACAACCGATCACTGTAGATTTCAGCAATACGACAAGGCTCAATATCACATCAGGTGTCATACCTTTATGCGTAAGTTTTGATCATGATGGAAAAGTGACTCTAACTAATCAAGCGTCACCTAATATCTGTATTGCAACAAGGCATGGCCATTTTGGATTGGTTGTAGAATCACCATTAATACCAATGAAAAAGAAAACTTTAAGCAAATGGAAGATAACGATTGGAAGCACGATTGGGGCTGCATTAGGCGCGTTTCTCCTGAGTTTGTTGCTGATTGCGATGTTTGTTAATGCGAAGAAGAAGGCAAGAATGGACGAACTTGAAAGGAGGGCGTACGAAGAGGAAGCTCTACAAGTTTCAATGGTTGGGCATGTAAGTACTCGTACTGCATCTAGTACTCGGACATTGCCAAGAATTGAACATGACGATGAGTATACATAGATCTCTTGCTTCTTGAATTATCAGTTTTCTAATACTTATCATTCTTTGTGTATTATTAACTAGTCCAGGTATAGGTTTTAGATTTCTTCAGTCACTTCTTAGAATACAAAATTGTTTCAAAGTAGTTGCACAGTTTTGCTGATCTGACCAATTTTTGTTGAATGATTAAGACAGATTGAGATTGAGTACTTTTTTTTTTTCTAGTGAGTTTACTGTTCTTGGTGTTCGGAATTGTCCCGATGGATTTACATCCTGAACTAAACGACGGAATGACGAAACAGAATTATAGTCAACTCTGGAAGCCTTTTTCTCTTTTCCCCAGAGATTTTTTAGTTTTTTTTTTTTTTTAACCATATTTCTATTAGACCCACAACTTTTCACAACTTTTTAACAATACATTTTCTAGAAAATTCATTTTTTTTCTTTCTAAAATTATGTACCAAAAACTTTAATTTGATGGGAATGAAAATTAATAATTTATAAGCTTGTATTTTCCTATTTTGCTCATCCTTGTTTATATATTATTAATTTATTAGATCAATGTTTCAATTAGGCTTAATAGAAATTTCTAAAATTGAAATAAAAATTGTGTATAAATGCCAAGTAGTGGTTTCATGCAGTTTGATTTTTCCTTTTTCTTTTTTCATCTTAAACTAGCTAAAACCAAATTGATTTATGTGATATACTAATTTCAAAGGAGCTTGCTCCCTGTCTCGACTTGGGAATAGGATCAGGGACAGTGGCGCCCACCTATTGGAGGGGTGTCTGTCAAGGGCAGGCCCATGTGGCGCCCATGTCTTCAACCCTGTCCCGGTTTCGGGACAGGGAGTTTTATCCAATTTCAAATCCGAATCCAATCATTTCAAAACTAAAATCATTATTCTTGATCGGTTTCTATTTGATCTAATGGTGTAAAAATAATTCTTACAACCCTCGTCACCATAAATAGCTTGCGATATTTTAAGTGTTTAGTTTCATTATAACCTCCTTATTAATAAGGAGATTATAGGGAGGAGTAATGGATTTTAATTAGTAATGGATTTTAATTAGTAATGTTATTGTGGGTACTAATTGTAAATATATAATTAAAATTAAAGTTAAACTGAAAATTACAAGTTACTTGGAAGTCCAAAAACACACTCAATATCTCCGTTGTTGGAAAAAAACTTAACTTACTTAGCTTTCTTTCTTATGTCAAGAAATTTAGCCCATGTCTGTCTCTCATTATTTCAAAACTTTTTTTTTTACCTACTCATATCCAACTACACATTCAAGCAATAAAATAATTTACATATAAACTCAAAACTTTTTCGTATTTTTTAATCATACATACTCCAAAATTCATTGTCCAAAGCAATGTTTTTACAAAAAAAAAAAAAAAAAGACCATCAAATAGGAGCTTAATTTACAATCTGCATCCTCAAATAATATAAATTGTTAAAACTGATTAAAGTTGAAATATTAGAAAATAAATGTAACTTGTATTAGTTTTTTTGCCAACGTGATTAGAAAAAGCAAACTCTTGATTAAAGCGAGACAAAATGACGAAGACATCTTTGCTTCTAAAACACTCATACAGTCACCATAAAATAAAAACCAAAAAATAATTATTACTAGATAAATAAAATAAAATGAAAAATAGCAAAATTGTTGAAAATGGTAAGTTTATTAGTAAATGACAATTGCACCAAAACAACCCTAAAAATTATTATCGTTGTATCCCTAACTTTTTTTTATAAATATAGGACTATGATTTTTTAATAAAACAAAACAAATCTATTAACTTTTATTTTCTCTTTTCTTTTTCTCTCTTTTCGTAACACATTATCAACACAATATTTTAATTTTTTTATAACTCAAAGTTTTCTTTCTCAAAAAGGGTCCAATTGCCACTCATTCTCACCTATCTTCCATTTCTCGCCCTTGCTATATATCGCTATCTAGTTGTTTCTATTATCACTAACGGCAGGGGGGAAATTCTACTCTTTTTTTTTTTTAGAATGTCAAAGTTTAAAACTTAGATTGTAAATATATAATGTAACCGACAGTTCTAAACTCAACTTTATGCATTTATCTTTCTATCCCAATCTGTTGACTGCAAACTGTTATTACAATTTATGGTTTACTAACCGTTTGATTGTGATCCCTAATACAAAGTGTATGGGTCCGCCTCTACATAAGTGTATATACAGTCATATATACATATACGTATGTGTAAGAAATGGTTGCTGTGTTATGATTTCAATTCTGAAATAGGACTACTTTGATTAATACTAAAAATTGTGAGTAGATCTTGATGTAGGCTAAAGTTGGGAAATACATGGAAATGACCTAAAACAAAGAGGCCATTTTCCAAAATAACCTTTGACTTATTTAGATACCTAAAATACTCCTCCTTTTGAATATTGCATAACAAGTTAATATAATATAGAAATCTTGCATTTTAGTCCTTAAAATTAAATATTACTTGATTTTCGATAGATTTATTGTTTATAGATTTATTTGATTTTTGTTCGCTCTAAGTAGCACTGCTAATTGGTATCAGAGCCATAGAAATCATGAAAATTAAAATAAGAAAAATAGATAATTATTATAAATTAGAAGAAGAAAGAGGAAGTAATATATTTTTAAAACCTATTTCTAATAAATTAAAAATAACAATAGTTAAAGATTTACCTAAAGAAATAAAAGAAAAAATATTAGACAAATATATAATAGAATTAATAAAAGAAATATATATGTATGAAAAAATTATTAAAGAATATGAAGATGAAGAGATTAATTTATATTATAAAGAGAAGTATGAATAATAATACAGATTTGAAATTGAATAAGTTAATTATAAAAATGAAAAAAATACAAGAAGAAATACGAGATATAATGTTAATACCAGAAGGAATAAGAGTGTCAAATAAAAAAAATTAATAAAATTAAAATGTGAAATATTAATACTTGAGAGTAAATATTTTAATATAGTAAAAGAAGAATTGATAAATACAGATATTGCTAATAGAGGATTTGGAATAATAAAAGATGTAAATTAACTTATATGTTAGAAAGATGATTTTAATATGTCAATAAGTGAATATAAGAAAAATTAAAGTCATTAATAAAAATGATAATAAATGATATACAAGATTTAAGAAATGAAGTAAGAGAAACAAGAAATGATATAAATATATTAAAAATTAAAATTAGAGAAATAAAAGAAAATAATAAAAATAAAGAAAAGTAAAAAAAATTAATAGAAAAAAGAAATAACTCGAATATGAAAGAAATATATTGCAAAAAGAGAGTGTAATAATAGAAACAGGAAGTATGGATGATGAATTTAGAAAAAATATATTACCGAAAATATTAGAAGAATGAGAATCTAGAGAAAAAAAATATTAGGAAAATCAAAAGTAGAAGATAAAGAAGATAAAGATGAATGAAGAATTACACTTACTTATAGAAAATTTTGATCAATTAAGTTTAAGTGATATAAGTGAATACCAAGTTTTAAGGAATACTGGAGGATAACCTAATCCAATTGGAATTTCTAAACAAGAATTACAAGACTTAAATGAAAGTTATGCACCTATACATAATAAATCATATAGACAATTTTATGATAAAGTAAAAAATAGACAACCACCTACAGGAAATAAATATAGAGACATGTTTGAATTAAATGATAATTATGATAAACATATTAATCACGGAGGAACAAAATTAGATTTAAATTGTAAAATAGATACTAAAAAAACCTTATTAATTTGGGCAGATTCAATGATATTATTCTTTTTATATAATAAAGATGACACATAGAAAAATACTGAAAGAAGAATAGATTTTTTAATAGCATCTTTTGAAGGAGATGTTAGAAATTGATGGGAATGGATAAGTAATGATACAAAAATATTAACAAAAAAAAGTACAAGCAAAAATAATAAAATTAGATAGACAATGTATAAAAAAGTTAGTAGAATATATTTCAGATGAATTTTTAAGAGAAAATTGGATAAGAAATGTTGAAAGAGAAGAAATAAGAGAAAAAGACAATGCTAGAATTAAACTAATAAATTTAACAATATGTGATATGTGTAAAATTAAATAATATACTTGTGAATTTAGAAATTATTATTATATTCAATTTTGTAGTAATGAGAACCAAGAAGTATACCAAGATATGTATTATAATAAATTATTAGGTTCATGGAGAATATATTTTAAAATATAATTTGAAAAATATGTTAGAGATAATGTTGGAATACGTAGGACTTTAGGTTCAAGAATAAAAATTTTATTTGAAAGACTTGCATATATATGTCAACAAAGATAATTAATGAAAAAATTAGGAAAACTAACTAGAATATGTTGTGAAAATATGAAAAATCCTATACAGTGGGGATGTAATCTTGAAAGAAAGGTTAATAAAAGAAAATTTAGAAATTTTAAAAATTTAGAAATTTTAATAAATATATAAAACCTAGAAGAATATATTCTAAAAGAAAAATATCTCATATGGTCAACATAATAATAAAAGTTATAAGAAAAATAAAAGTCAATGTAAATGTTGAAATTGTGGAGTAATAGGTCATATAAGCCCTGATTGTAATAAAAAGAGTTGAAATATTACAAAAAGAATATTTGAAAATAAAAGATAAATTGAGTAAAATATCATACATTAAAGAATATTATAATGAAGAAGTTTATATAAGTGAAACAGAGGATGATAAATCATAATATGGAAAGTAACAATATAAATATACAAGAATATAAAGGAATAGAAGAATATGGATTAAAGTTACATTTGATAACAATAAATTTAGAAAATTACAAAAATTATTTTTAGATTTAAAAATAAGGAAATGAGAAGTTTTAGATAGAATTTGGAAAAGATAAAGATATCAATAAATGAATATCACAAAATAGAAAAAATCATAGACGTAAGAACAAGATACGGACAATATAAATCAAATCTTTTAACAAAAAATATGGTTGAAAAACTATTAACAAAGGTTAGTAAAAAAAACAAAGTGAAAAAATTCAATATGTTTATTTAACAGAAATACAAATAATATTTAAATCATTATTCAGAGAAGGGATAGACTCACCATTAACTATAACTTACATGATGGAAGAATAATAAATTTAAAAAATAGTCATTTAGGTACAATAGAAGGAAATCTGGCATATATATGTT